TAGTGCTGGGCTGGGCGTTTAGATTTTTGGCCCTAATTATAAGGAGAATGCAGGTGGCTGTCAAAAATTTGACATGGGCTTTCTGGTTTTGGACTGGGTGTGCCAAATTAGGCCCATACAGCAACTATTCCATTTTCTTGTAGTTACCTGATAAAAATATCTAGCACGTCTTCCTCCTTCATCAAACATCCATAATATTCACACCCGTGTCTAGCCTCACAATTTTGATCTTTTTCTCAAGTTATCTTTCTACTTCAATTTGAAATTTTGAACATTTCAAAAGCTTGAGAATTTTTTGCTATGAGATATAGATAACCAAAATGAGAATGGTCATCTATAAAAGTGATGAAATAGTGATTTCCATCAATTGTTTGATGAGGGAATGTCCACAAATGTTTGTATGGATGATTTCTAAAAGATCACAGTTGCACCTTTCTTTTTGGTCCACAAATGTTTGTATGGATGATTTCCTTTAACACATTCAATACAAATTTCGTCATCACTGAAAGTCAGTAATGGCAAGATTTGTTCCTTAACAAGAATTTTCATTCATTCTTTTGAAATGTGCCCTAAACATCCATGCCATAACCTGGTGGATGTTCCTTCCCTTCTAATCCTTTTTCTCACTCGATTCAGCTATTAAAACTTCACCATCTATATTGTAATTAAGACAGTATAATCCACATCTATTGTCTTTGAATTATAAGATACAAAAACATCTTTATTGAATCCAAAATAAAACCAAGTCTTAATAATCTTGAAACATAAATTAAATTTCTCTTCATTTAGGGTATTGAAACAACATCATCCAACTCTAAAATAAATCCCGAATCCAACTTAAAATCAACTACTCCAATAATATTTAATGAAAACAACAAGTAGCTATCTAATCCTCCTTGTCACAACATGCTGCCATGAAAGTGTTGTTCTCCCTAGCGGGGAACGGGTCAAGTACCACTATCTCCCTATTAGTGGTGGTATCAAAAATCTCAATAGGTGATTCAGGTTGGGGTGTAGGTTTCACAGACTGCACTAGGAGATTCTTGTATCGAAGTAGCTTCTTGATGTTTCGTCCTCTCCCATAAGTGCATACATCGAGCTTTACAATGATCTTGAGACTTTTGAGATTGTCCTTTGTAGCCATGTATATCCTTATGGGTCCTCTATAAGGTCGACGACGTCGCTGCGCCTTAACCATTTTTCTTTCCAGCTCATCTTCTTTCCTCTTCTTAATTAACTCCACTATATTCTTTACTAGAATTCCATTCGTGATTAGTTAACATGAGTGGCTCCTATTAACTGCCAGATACTTTTCCTTTTCCCTAAGCTCTTGGAGTTGAACTACAAGATACATAAGCGAAATGACTAGCTTGAATTAAATATAATCATGAGTAAGATCATAAATGATCTCATTCATTCCGAGAATAACTTCAAAATCAAACGTCCATGTTTTGAAGTTTGATGCAGTGAATATTTCAATTTGTGAGAAATTGATTAAGGGAGTGTTCAAAGCTGTAAGAATTTGCAAAAGAAAGCATAATTACTTTCCAAGGAACCGATTCTCAATTTGTTAAGAGAAAACAGTTTTTTCTTTTAACTTTATTCACAAAACAAACAAATAACATATGCAAGCTTCCTTAATTAAGTATCACATCTTTGTGGCAAGAAATTACTTATAGCTTACACAAATTACGTGTTATCTTGTGCCATCATAAACAAACTATAGGATAGATTCTATTTGTTGAAGAAACTTATCAAGTAATTTAGGTATGATGCAATTTTGGTTATTTCTTCAGGGTTTGAGTATTTAGGTTTGGTTTTGTTATGAAAAATTTGTTGTTTCTTAGAACAAAGACAAACACCTATCGAGCTCAGAAAATAACCAAACAAACACAGTTCAAGAGAGAAAACCATAAATTGCAATGACTAGTAATTTTTTCCGTGAACAGTGTCTTAGGGGTTTTTGTAGTCCGTTTTTTGAGGCAAAATACATTTTCAACAGTGAATGACCCAATTAACACAATTCATCACTTTGCTGTGACATATGGGCATTTTTAGGGTTTCAAGGTCATTTGGTAGGTCAAAAACATATTTAATGTTTTGAAGATATGAAAAATCAAATTAAAACATGCTTTTCTAGATTCTTTAATATTCTTGATATTTAGAAGAAGAAAAAAACATGTTTAATCCGTCTTCAAATTTTAAATATAACCAAAAAGTCATCATGGCGTAAACAGATAAGAAATCGTAATAGGCATGCTTGAGAAAGGATTTCAGTGTGTGTGAATAACCATGTGCTCTAATATGAAATGTTAGATTTCTTTATATGCATGTTCATGATCTTTCACACAATCTGAAATACGTAAAGACATACCTGGCACCATCTTTCTTGAGTACACGACCTCTGAACTCATTCAACCTCACTAGCAACAATCCAAGCAAGAACAGGAATGACTCAAGACTTCTACTCTCTCTCAGAATCTGTTTCAGCTCTTTCTTTATGATGAGATTAGGATTAGAGAATGTGTTTGATGAGAGCAGGGCCTTAAGCTTATATAGGCTAGGTCAAGTCGTCTCTACTCATCACTAAATACCGACTTGACTAATCTTTCAACCCCACCAAGCAATGGTTCACGCAAAAGGAAACAAAAAGGACCCCTTAATAGGCTTCAAAACTTTTCCTTATTCCACAAGGTTTTGGGCCTCAAGGTATAACCTAATTTAAACTCTTATCAAAACTTGATATAACTTAGTATCTAGTGCACCGATCTAACTAGGAAACATAACATACAGTCGTTTGGATTCATGAAATTTTACCAAGCCATTTGAAAACGAAAAAGAGGGGGGGGGAGGAAGAGGGCGTGGTGAAGGAGCCATTGGACGTGGCCACCAACAATTTCATACGAAGACAAGAGTTGAAAAAGAAACATGAGAATGAGAACATATGATGGCAATTGGCATATATAATCCTATCCCCCTCCCTAACACCCCCTTCTTCCTCGTCCCTTGCATTTCTCTAAAGCATGTATAGAAGTGAGAAAATTTTCATAATAAATCAATATTAGAGGTTTTTTTTATTTTTTGTTTTTGTTTTGTTTTTGTTGTTGTTGTGTGGGAATGTTTGCCTTTGATCTAATTCGTTTTCTCGAGTGCTACTAAATTCTGTTATTGCACACATTATTTGTCCTAGAGAATTGCATGCTGAGTTTGAGTGTTCTTGGTAGCTTCACTTTTCAAAATAACATACCCATAAATCTTTGTTTAAAATTGTTGTTCTAGTTGGCAAAGAGATTGCAAAATCACCATTTTGCATTTTTGTTACAATAATTAATTAGTAATCATAGCCTTTCACATTCTTTTATGGTTAGTAAAATACGGAATGGGAAAAATACAAATAAAATAAGTGCTTGTTTTATTCTCCAAAATTTTGACAAATTACAACTGAAATGTTCGGCCACTATATAATATTTTAAATATATATTATTTTTAGAGTGCTGCTATTTCCACCCACCTGTCCTATTTTTCCACCCACCTTATCTTCCCACTCACCATATAAATTTGAAAAAAACATAATCCTATTTTTTCACCCACCATTATTCATAAAATATCCTTTATGGTGCATCCCACCATTGTTTTTGTAAATCATCCATAATCAATGTATGAATTTAAATACTGAACAAGAGTTTGGGAGTTGTCTGTGTAGATAGAAACTGAGGAATTGAAACTAACTTCAAATTTGGGAAGAGTTAAAAACCATAAACATTGCATCACAAATCCAATGGCGGGTAACAAATTTGTTTTCTTGTATTTCAGTTTCTTTGTACTTTAGTTTTACATTTTTTTTTTTTGGGTGTTAGTGCTCGCATGGTTTTCCTTTCTCGAAACCTAACTTTGTACTGTCTATCTGTCCTCTTCGTTAATGAAAGCCTACTTTGATCAAAACAGAAAATCCAATAGGGATGAGTGGGTTCATTCGAAGAGAGGGATGGGAGAAGAGAGAGAAAGAGGGAGATGGATTAGGAAAGAAGGTGAAGTCTGGGGATGATTTTTTATTTTTATGAAAAGCTGGAGATGAATTTTCAATTTTAAAGCTTTTCCCCTTGTTAAAGTTATTTTAAAAAATATTTACATTTTACATTTTACATTTAAGTTCATTATTTTTAGCTTCATATTAAATATTTTTTTCCTAAGTCCTTAGAAGTCATTTTATAAAGGGGTAAATCTGTATTTAAAATTTTGAAGATAAGGTGGGTAGGGAAATAAGACAAGGGCGTGGAAATAACAGCACTCTATTTTTATTCAATAATATGTTATGTGTATAATACGTGAATTGTGTGTTATTGAAAATTTTGTAAGAAACATGTGTATTAAACATGAAAAATACGTACGTACGTGTACAATACGAGTATTGTACATTTACTTTTTTAAAAGCGTGTATTTACAGAAAACAAATGTATTATTGAAAAATACACATATATATATATAATACGAGTAGCAAACGTGAAAATGTTAAATTCGTACAGGCGATGTTACAAATTACAAATGACAAATGACAAAGTATGTGAGAGATATCTAACAAATGACAAAGCACGCCCCTGCCTGCTTCAATCCCGTCCTGTTTTACGTACACTTTTATTCCTTCCAAGGGGATAATAATCACATGCTCCTGGCTTACACTGCAATTAAAATCACTCAAACGAGCCCATAATTGATGTTAGAGATTCTTTTTGGCACATTAAATAATGACAATGTAATAAAGTGCACTTGTCAGAAGATTGTAGACATATTCTATCATCACAAAAAGTAGAAAAACATATGCTGAGATGAAACAGTACATTATCATTAATGTAACAAAACTGAAAATTCTGGGATCACATTTTATAAGCAGTACACCTCCTGTGCCATTAAGCTGTTAAACTAGCAGCTTAATGACAAAGACCCAGGAAAGAATGAGTTTGTGCAGCCAAAGTCTAAATCAAGCTGCTTCGAACTGCAAAATATTTATCTGAAATCATATACCACCACAAGATTTTGAAGATGAAGCTAGAATTACACACATAGGAAATCTTAATGGATAACATGCTATTTTCCGAGTGCCATTGAGATGGGTCATGAACAGCCCAGTTCACATAGATAATTCTGATGACACGCAGCTTTGTGACAGTGGTCAAGCTATAGCCACGTTAGTTCCACCACAGAAAAAAGGGAGCATATATCGAAGTGTTCACACAGGAATCCATATGTGAATCTCAGCGCACATATATCACACACTCTCAGGTTGATTAGGAACAAGCTGGGAGCTTCGAACTTGCAAACTTTGGACCTGGGATCTTTGAGCTTGCAATAACTGTTTCATTGCATCGTGACATCTAAAAAAGAGTCAAACAAGAACATAAGACAACTTCTTGGCCAATTAGAAGTCAAAGAGGAAGAATAATAGAAGGGCAACTGTATTTTGATACCTCCAAGGAAGATGGTCGAGAAACATTGATGGTGACACAATAATATCTTTGAAGCTTTCTCTGTTTGCAATATAAGCCTTATGACATTGCGTCTTCTCTTGGACTGCGCTGCCTCTACACTGAAGCATATTGAAGCTTCTTGGTTGCGGTACTATATGAATCACAAGCCCTGGCAGATACATCTCTGGGGGATCCCTAGATGTCAAACTTTCCGATCTTGGGACACTTTCCATAAATTGAGACACAGGGTCATGATTTGAAATGACATCATTGGAAAAGGGGTTGGTGAATTCACCATGATCACTTTGAATAACTCTGTCCTCCATGTCAGCATCATCCCACGAGATTAAATCTTGATCCTCATCATTACACACTGCAATAGAAAAGGAATATCTGTGAAGATCCTTTGGCCACTGTGTCGCAACCCTCACACACCCATGATGATATGATAGTAGAAGTCATGATGGGCGTTTTCAGCAAACATTTAACTTCAGGAAACTAAAAAAGTGGCTACCTTTAATATTACCCTGATACTGGCTCTCATAGATGTGGTGGTTCAGTTTTTCATCTGTGATTGCCCTGGAAGTGATATCTGAAGCTGAATCCTTTACCTTGGTCCCATTTTGCTGGTACTTGCTTACATGGAGAAAATGGCGTGCAAGCCTTAGTATCATAGCCGTATCAGTTTCTGAATCTTGTGACATTGCTGTAATTGCAGCTGCTCGTAGCCGCATGATTGATCCAACTGATAGGCGTGAGGAGAATTCATTGTTGTATACAATGCTGAGGAGAGGTCAAGCACTTCAGATGTACATAGTAAAAAAGATAAAAATATGAAAACAAGTTACAGTTTTTGTTTTTCTTCTTTCTAAACTATCAGTAGCGTGAGTGACAAGCACAATTACCTTGTAACAAATTCAGAACATGCATTTGCTACAACCGGGTCCACACATGGAAGGGCCCCATATGTATAGACATGCAAATTTGGGTATCGGTGGTATAGCTACACACAAATATATAGAGAATAAAAATGAAGAAAGTACCTTCATCAAAATCAAAATGGATAAAATTGAAAATTAACAAGCAAAAAAAAAATGATTGGTATAGATACTCTAATTCCATCAGCTTGTGTCTTTTTCTCAGTTTATGTGAGCTTCCATCAATCTTGAGGGAAAGGGGTCCTTGATCAAAATTAGGTGTAAATTTCCACATAACTTCAAGTGAGCAGGAGATTCCATTAAAAGAAGAATTTTCAGAAGGAATACAAGAATGGTAGATAATCTACAATCTACTCATAAGTTTTTATTAATTTTGTACCCATTACATACTGATGCTCATATAGCAATCATGAACCAAGGCAAAAAATCCCAAGTTAATACAACTCAATAAAACCAAATTTCCTAGATGAGAGCTAGAAGTGCATAAAATATATTGATTACTAATTGCAAATTCTGTCTGCAAGTGAAATTCACAAGACAAACATGATTACATGCCAGCACTTGTACTTACAGCTTACGTACATGTATTTTCAAATCCTTCAACCATGAACTAGAAAGTATACCAAACAAAAAAAAAAAAATAAAATAAAAATAATCACATTACTTTCAAGTAAGAAATTCCATACTCTGAGTCCAATCAATGCGGCAATCGCACCTCCTAGGGAATGCCCCACTATGCGAATGCTATACCCCTCACACTCGCATCCAACTCCCAGCAAAGAAGAAAGAAGGCCATTTGAACCAGATCCTGCAACTCCAACATTTTGGTGGTAAGTGAGTGTATCTTTTGCCGTAATTCAATTTACAGAAACTCCTGAACAATGAAGCACATATTCTTTGAACACTTAAGATATGGATATGTATTCGATTGTTCAAATAAGTATCAGTCCACTTTTAGGAAACTGACTTTCAGAGACGGCAAGGACATGTGACTGAGACTGTGGAAATGGGTTATTTTGTAAATGCTTTAAGAATACCGGAACTGTTTGTGATTTTTAGAATATAAAGGTCAATATGAAAAGAAAAGAAAAACACAAATAGAAGAAGAAGAGTTGGAAAGTAAAAGCTCTTCTTTACTTGCTGCAACAAATAGTAACTGAGGAGCTCGGATTTTTGTGGTTGCATCCCAGAGAAGAAGAGAAGGGCAGCAAAAAAAAAAAAAATGAATGTAAATATACACCAAGGATCAACTGTGGACATCTGCAAACTATGAAAACTGCAGCTGTCCAACATCCTATCTGCAGTCCAATGATCGGAATCATCTATGTTCTAGGTCATCTTTTATGGATCATTTCTGCAAAAGATCAGTCAAATAAAAAATCATGTAGCCATTTGATTGCCACCATCATCAATAATATTTTATCCCACAAAACTGTATTTGTCTGCATACTATTGATGATCAAACAGTTTTTGACTAATTCTTTTGCATGGATAATCCTTTAGGACGGACCTAGATGGATGGTTTCAATCATTGAACTGCAGTGGGACGTACCAGGATAGTGGAAATCCGCACTTGTCAAAGTCTAAGAATGTCCACTCTTGCACCTTCTTGAAATAAAAAATTTATAACATTTTACTTCATATCCAAGTTTGTGGAGAGTTATTGTATCATTGTATGCTACAGTGTCTTTATCATGTATCCTATATCCTGTATTGGCATTGGTGGAACATAGTTCCTAAAAAGTTCAAGGAGAAAGATTAAAATAAAACGTTAAATAGGTTTTATATAGGGTAAGTTCTCTTGTCAGACTTATATTGCCAGACAAATGCTTATGTTTACAGACTGAATGTGGACCACAGATTCAAGAAAGAGTCTACCTAACCAATGGTCTAGAAAATTTATCTGTTTATATACATATGTGATAAATATATCTTTAAACTTTAGTTTTTTTTTGGCACACAAAAGATCCAATCTACATAACTAGTAACAATAAAAAATTCTAGTATGTCATAAGTGGGCCTAGATTTGAAACGCATTGTACTGCCAAATTTTGAAATGTCTGTAGTTTATGATAAAAGCTGATTAGAGATGAAATTGTTTAGAGGTTATTGTGGTCAAGTCTATCAGGAAACTTCTTATCCCACTGCTCCAGTTGATACTAATATCATTACTTTTTTTATTTTATCAAACATACAAGTAATTAATTTAAGACACAAATACATTATGCTGTAAGACAAAAGAATAAAGAACTCCAAGACAACATTCTTAAAGGGGTAAATTGATGTCAAATCAATAAAGGATAATAGAAGTTGGATGTGAGTATACCGAAACAGATTCCAAAGGAATCTGTTAGGATGGATCAGCATCACAGAGACCAACGAGTTTGAAGGAGAGAGACAACAAAAAAGTCATCTATTTACCATCATCTCTAGGACTAACTTCAATTTGCATGAAGAGATCCCTTGCAGCCTCAACAATACCAGAGTGCCCGTGGTGTGGGAAAGATGAAATCACGGATTGTCTCACTTCAGGATGAATATTAGGGCTACTGCAAACAAAACAAAAAATAAATGAAAATCTGAGTGCCAAATACAAATACAGTGCCTGTGGTGTGGGAAAAATGCAGTAAACACAAGTTAGTGGTATAAACGGACAAAACCAGAGGTCCACAAGCAGGGAAACGTTATTGCTTCATCAGTTTCATATACATCTTTTATTTTTCTCCTTTCTTTATTTATTCTTTTATTTATTTATTTTTCATCTACAGACATTTCACCACTGTAGTTTACAGTTTAAAGTCAATCATAAAGTTTTGAGACTCTAGTAAGGAGCAAATTATCAGACCACAAACACACATAAACATAACCACACAGATACAGATACAGATACAGATACAGATACAGATACAGAGAGAGAGAGAGAGAGAGAGAGAGAGAGAGAGAGAGAGGAAGACATACTTTATCAATCCATCCAAGTCTTCTACAGAAAGAGCACATTCCCTACATAAACTGTCTGTTATTAAATCTTCTGGGGTCTCAGTTCCCCGAACAGCAATCACCACAGATCTTAGATGATGCAGAACAAGAACAAAGTATGCAGCTTTACACTTTGCCTGAGACAGAAAATATATATAAAAGATTCTTAGATTATAAGCTCTATCTCCCACAATCCTTCATTTGAAGTTCATAATGATGGAACATCCTTTGCATAGAACTCACAATTAATATTTTCTTTAGAAAAGACTAGGCATTTTATAATTTTGAACTATGTTTCCTTAGCATGTGATATTTTGTCTCTGTCAAGAGGCATATGGGGCCACATTGGTATGAAATGGTTGTTACTGCATAGGATTGGTTGGAACTTAAAAGAACCATAAAACTCACTGCATATGATGCATTTTAAAGGATTTGAAATAACTAGACATAATAAAAAAATATGTAGGTTTAAAACAATTCAATGTATAAGTGTATCAATCAAATAAAAACACAGACACACACACACAGACACACATAACACTAAAACAGATCCAATGGTTGAGCGCCCCATCCCTCAAATAACACTATTTGAGAGAACCCACAACTGAAGAGGACTGTTGGAGTGTTGTGAGGCATTAGAGTAAGCAATGCTATCAGGATAACTCACCTGGTTAACACGCCCTTTCCTAAGCACCTCGGGGGATAGTTTAACATATTTTAGAAAAGCTGCTGCATGACCTCGCAACCAATTATCACCATCAAGCATGGGTCGCCTACGAAGGAAGAGGAAAAATAATTACCAAATATGGCAGTAAATGTCTACAACATTGCAAAAACAAATATTTTTTTTTAAAAAAAGAAAAGAAATTGTGATTAACTCAAGTTTAACAATGTCTATAATTATATCAGCCAAAAAATGCAGTATACATTATTACATGTGCATGAGTAAGATACCCGATGGATTAATGACCTGTTACGAGCCCATGGGGTCAAAATCCCTTGCCTATAGAGCCACACACACGGAAATAAGAAAGGATTTCTTCCAAAATCAAGCAATGGACCCTGTAGGATGCAGTGCTTATAAATATAAAAAGTGAATAATAAAGTAAAAAAAAGAAAAAGAAATGCGTACTTAAGAAAATACTTTGCCATAATACCGTGTAGGCAGCTTCTGCAAACTTATGAAAATCTGCAGCCTCCCTGATCTTTTCTTCAGGTGTCTCCATACACTCTTCAAAGGATTTTGGTGACTGCCCCTGGTTCCGCAAAAGGGCTAGACCTGGACAATATATAGTACACACAGTGTCATGCATGCAAAACAAGAGACATGAAGGATGAAACTGGGAACGAGTAACTTCGGGTATAAATCAACTATGGATGCATTAACAAGTGAAACTATGATGTAAATAAAGGTAATACTGATGATAACAACAGCCTGATGATAGAGTTATTGCAAGTCCTGGACAACCAAGTCTAACTACTTTATCTTCTACTAGGCTGATGAGATACCTACAAAAGCCACTAATGGTTCAACAAACATCTTACTGCTCTCCCAACTGTACTGTGTTAAAGCTGCAATTAAGCTGCAGAACACCAATGAAGTCAGAGACCTTAATTATACTATCAGATTAAAGAGCTGAGCAACTCCAAATATTATCTTTGGCTCCCTAAACACTACAAAAGAGAAATGCCAAAACTGAAAGTCAATGGCTTGCTCTAAACTCTACTCTAATGGCTTGCTAGCTACTTTAACAGTTGTTGTGCAATGTAACTTTTTGCTGGATTATGGGTGTTGCACTATACATTGCACAACTTGATGCCAGTAGATAAACTCAATAGTATCAATGACTGGCTTGTCTTGTAGTCTAGATAGGGCCATACGCTCTTTTTTCATATATTGGTATCTTGACCTGCACAATGTTGTTGCTTGCACGGACATTAATAGTATAACTACAGAGGATTGCACCAATGTTTAACTTATAACATTTGCCTTAACCATTAAGTCTTCGACCATGAATACAGTCATTTGCCTCTTAACATGAATTAGATGTAATACAAATATAAGATATAGATAATACTCCAACATCGTTGCCAAATATGTCAAAAATTCTACATTTATTTACATAATTTATTTTCCACTGTCTTAAATAAAGGTCATATTTTTCATTATCTCCTCATTGGTGTGTACTGTGCAAATCCACAGGTGAAACAAATAGAAGAAATTTTGTGATGGAGAGGAAAGGTGGACTCATTGTGGGACATGATTAAATTCTTTGCTTCTCTCTGGGCTTCTTCATCTAAACGGTTTAAGGATGTTCCTTTTAGTTTAATTATTTTGGATTGATTTTATTTTTCTGGTCTAACAGTGTGAGTTTGATCTGTCCTTAGGCTGGTCTAGTGGTTCTTTGTTGTCCTTGTTTTCAGTTCCTGATGGACTTCTCTTCCACATTGCTTTGTAGTTTGTACTATATCTGTTTTTAATAAAGTTTATTGGCTCCAATTAAAAATCAGAACATGCATCATGCTTATGTTATCAACTGATCCCAGCTTAAGATCTGAACAAAGACCTGTCTTGTTTAACAATCCGCATAATGTATAATCTTTTACATCAAACTAAAAATTATGACCTATACACGTTTGGCTGTGTTGTTTGAGGCCTCTAGTAATGTAATACTTGTATGTAAAAACAAAACCCACAAGACTTTTAGTTCCAGGTCATTATCAAATTGCATTGGCTTAAAATGACAGAAACCAATTACTCTCTCCCTCCAGAGATCTGTCTTGTTTTTAACCCACAGGAAAAAATCCGAGGATAATGTATTTATGAGACAGGAAAATTATCATAATGTGAAAAGAAAACGCTTTACATTCTGGTAAGGTATCTTGATGTGAAAAAGTAAATTGTGTTGCATTAGGATAATGTATATGTTTCCCAAATACATTAATTATTTTTCTTCTGCACAATATTATATTCATCATTGGTCTTGTTTAATAGATATTTGGCAAATGTTCTCCAAAAATAGAAAACTTCATGTAAAACAGACAAGTAGCATGAAAATCACGGTACTTTTAACTTTGAGAAAATGTTAGTAGTTATTATACTTTATAGAAACAGGTAAACAAATATTTTTGTTAAATGTTTCTATAAAGTATAATAACTACTAAATGCATGAGGGACCCAATTCGAAGATGAAAAATAATTGTGCTTAGTCTAATCTTATGGTTTCAGGACTTGGATTAAAGATTTCTAAAATTTCTCACGTTATAGTTCTGAAAATTCTCTTTTAATCTGTTCCACTGTTTGATTCTGTGCATTGAGTGGCATGTATATGGTAGCACATGGAAGCCACCAAAAATCAAGAAAACTCTAACTCAAAATTTAGCTAAATTAATATGAAATAAGCATTAGAATAATCCCTAGATTATACTCTCGCAGTGTGAACAGTGGAGACACAAAATCACAAAATGTATGCATGCATAACTAGAAAATGTCAGGTACAAACAACTTAGTCATTCACAATATGAAACTTCACAAGTTCAGACAAAACCTGCCATGAGTTCCAGATGTCCTGTGCCGGCTGCACGATAGGCAACAAGATCACCTAGTAATCGAGCTACTGAGAAAACCTCATCTTCTTCCAATACACTCCTGGATAAATAAGATGAGACCAGAAAAATTAAAAAGTATAAATAGATATATATATAACGATATGCATGTCACTGTCCGTGTGTTCTGTATCCTGTACGTAAACCAAAATGCAGGACCTACAAGTATTTGACTCGCCCCATACAGCACAAAGCCTCACGAATGCCATGATCAAATACCTCCCGGTAATGAGCCTTCCATGCATCATCTTGGGTTGCATAAAATGATCTCCATTTTAAAATATCAGTTCCTGTAAAACACTGTAGCAATGCCGCAAAACACACCGTGATTACAAAAAATCCCATTAAATGTTTCTTCCACGGAATATTGCTCGAAGCCGTCCCTGCATTACAAGCATTGCCACACTTGTGATATTCCACATGAAATCAGATTCCTATCACTTTAACATTGCCCATATGGTAAAAGGTAAGAAGACTTTTATGACTTTGTGTATTTTCTAAGTTCATGCATTGTATACATCTTTCATCATACCATGCAAAGTAAAACACGAAAAGTTTAAAAATTAAGAACCCCATCTCTCATTTAACTTCTTTCGTCATCACTCCCATTGCTCGCATTGTCATAGCATTTAAAAAGATACAACTTCTAGTGCTGGTTCATCAAGTGAAAGATTAGCAATTTCCTACATGGTTTCTTCATATTCTTGACTGTAACAATGGCATGTTGATGAAGTATCCTAAATTCAAAGATGCCACAACCAATACGCATTTAGAGTTTCAGATACCCATCGAGGAATATCTGTGTAGTGGGAGTATCAGCATCCAATACTCTGTACAAAAAAACTTGTGAAGGTTTTTGAGGAACAGTGCTTTGATGTAACAGTGCTTTGAGGGGTAAGATTCATTATGTTCTCCCTAACTAGGTGTATTCTTATAAATTTATTTTATTTAATAAAATATCCTCATACTGTTGATGCTGACCAATAATATATGTGTTTTTCTCTACACCACAGCCAGCCACCCTTGTCATTACAGTTGCAACATACAGAAACTAATTCTATAGCCCTATATATTTTTACCCAAATCCATGATGCAAACAACCAATACATTTCTGTTTTATTTTCACTTTAAACTAATTTTTTTCCTCTCTTAAGCGTATAAACTCTGCAACAATGTATTAGGTCTGATTTAAAAAAACTAATGGTTTATGTCCAGATCAACACAACCAACCATTAGGAAAACAAGGTGATGTTTGCAAAAAATAAAAAAAGAGCTGAGGTCAAAGACAAATTACTGATTAGGGAGAAATCTGCTCAACACAGAAAAAGTGACCGCCTAGGAGCACATAGTTAAGGTGTATTCTCATTCTGTCAATAATAACTGTATACGAAATAAACTGCAGTATAATGTATGATTTTGTTTGGGCAAAAGGCACCACATCTTCCCAAGGCTTATGTTATACCAATTTATTATTCTTAATTTTTTGTGTATCTCCTTAAATTGGAAATCCTTGTCATTTGACAAAAAGAAGTAAAGGGAATGTCTTAAACATGGATAAACAAAAGAAGGAACACACCTTACCTAAAATACAATGGTTTGTTGTTTCATTGTGAGACATAAAACTAGCCATATTGTATAGAAGGTAAGAAGCACCAGCAAATTGCAGAACTGTAATAACGGTAGCAAATCGAGTCCACCAAAGCCACTTTTTATACCTAACCTGTTCATTCAGAAATTACTTTTCACTGTAAATACAAGCATTCTGATACAATATGTTTATTACAAATTTATTGAAAAAAAAAACCGCAGACATAGAGAGGGAAACAGTAAAATGCAATTCATATATTGGAGTACCACAATAAAAATATGATGGCACATACAATTCACTCCCAAGGAGGCAGAAGGTGATGTAAGTTTAACATCTTTGGAATGGACCCCAAAAAAGTTTCACTATTACAAATTCAACCCCCATAATTACTCAAATCATACATATAAAGCAGATTTGTTGTATTACAATTTATCTTTAGCTGGTTTGCAGCTCCATATTCAAATTTGCAAATTCTGAAATGCTAATATGCCTCCAGAAGAGGTTGTCAATATCATTGCATGTAAAGAGGATCCAGAAAAAGAAGGTTAAAAGCATACCCAAGTTGTTGAGACTTTTTAAATAGTTACGTGACAGCTCAATGTTCTCTCCTTCCCCTAGTCACTATTATTCACATCTTCAGTGACATGACAGGACCATCTTCTTTTTTCCTCTTCTGTTATAGGGGAGACACAAGGACAAGGTATGACTCAAACTCTAGCCTTGAGCTACAATTCCCCCCACCAACACATTCTGATTTAATTGCCATTCTTTGACAAAGAGAAACCCATAAAAAGTGTACTTGAAGGCGTGTTCATTCATAAGAACTTGCTTGGACACAGTGATGTGAACACGAAGAACACTTCCTCCAACACAAATACTCATTATACAATAGAACTGACTTCAGCATTCACCTACCACCAATAAAGAGTTTTCTTTTCTTTTTAAGATAACCACCAGACAAATATGAATAGGAAGCTAAATTATTCTTGACATAGTAATGCTTCATAGTCAATATATTAAACATAAACAAGTGAAGAAAAAGTATAATAATCCGATATAGCACCCTTCCTAACTCACATCCCATCCAGTTTGTAAGATTTTCATAATGAAACCATCTGGTCCAAGAACCTTATTTCCATTAATTGCTACCAAAAACTCTTCCTCTTCATAAGTCTGTTGAGACACTCTCTATCCTCATTAGATAGAGAACAAGGAATAGGCATTTATATATGTAAAACCCTGCTATGCAGTGACTAACTTCGTGCCACCCATATTCGACAAAACTGAATACTCAGTTGATAAGGTGACTAGTTCTCTTTTGGAAAATAGCATGCCAATGATATTGTATGTATCCATCCTCCTCCTTAAGTTTCTACGTCCTTGCAAAGAAGCTAAACATCGTAAATCCTTGCAAAAAAACTTCCGTACCCCATATCTTCATAGTGAACAATCATTCTTAATCACTCAATAAACACCATATTTCTAATCATTCGCATGTGGCAAAGCATGTATCAAATCTCCGACTGTATACTATCCCTTCAAGAGTAATCAGCACAACATCTCAAAATCCTTAGTTTCATTTTCTCGGCAACCAAAAAAGAATAAATAAATCAAGCATTCAATCAAAGGGGAACAAATGGTGAAATACCCGTGTCTGGTGGCGGAAAGCAGTGTCAACGGCGGCAGGGCTAACCGCCGGGGAATGCTCAAGAATGGTCATGGCGGTGGCTTCTTGGGCGATGCCAGTGTTAACCATGATGCCAATTCTGACGGCTGCCATAAAAGAAACAACCATCAGAGGAATGAGGATGTGGCGATTACAGGAAGGAAGAGCCCAGAAGACAAAGAAGCAGCCGAGAACGAAAACCACGGCATTGGCAATGCCCAAGATTATGGCGGGCCATCTCAAGTTCTTGATATTTGAGACCCACATTGCCGCAATTCCTCTCTCTCTGTCTTTGATTAAAAATTGAGGCTCAGTGTGAGGCAACGTCAGTTTGTTTGTGTGTTTGGATGCCAAGAAATTGATTGTTGTTGAGCGTCTGAATTTCTGAACCGTTCGGAAGAAGGAATTGAAGTGCTCTATTTTTACCCATTTTGTTTCTTTACCTACGTTATTTTCCCACCCACTGTGTAAATTTGAAAAAACACCATCCAATCTTTCCAGCCGTTATTATTCTTAAAACACTCTTTAATTATTAATTGGACAAACTACAGTAAACTCCCCAACTTATAGGGTCATTTACGAGTTCATATCCGATTTTGGAAACATTTATAAGTACATACACAACTTCACGAAAACTTACAGATCGCCCCCCTCCGTTAGCGAATTCGTCAAGAAAACCGTTATCTGCTTACGTGGCAAATGTGGGCTCCATTTTTTAATGAGGTGGACTTCCACGTGGACTAAAAATTAATTAAAAAATTATATATTTTTCAAAACTAGTTTTAAATTATTAAAATTATTTTAAAATTAATTATAAAAAAACCCAGATCTGCTTCATATCAGATTGGGTTTTGAATTTTGACTGACCATCTCAACTCAAAAAGCAAGCATCATGCCCTGCTACTCATTCAACAACAGAATCCAGATGACAAATTTATAGTTGTAAAATTATGACACATATTTATGAAAGAGATTGGTATTTCAATTTCAAAGTTCGACTCAGTAAAAATGCATACATCATCTGATAAATTGATTCATAAAAGATAGCGTTGGCCCTCATGGCGGCGTGGCCTGACTGCTAATGCAACACGTCTTCTACCCAGACGCCCACAACCACCATCTTCAACCTGCACCATCTTCCCACAACCACCATCTCCAACCTGTACTAGCGCCACCCACCCCCTGGCATCTCTCTCTAGAACTTCTACCGTCGCCTGACGACCCACCAGCCGCCTCCCATCATCCCACCCAGCCAACCCCCATCCTCCCTTCCTCCGACTTAACCTTTCGTCGATCCACCCCGAACCCACTGCAAATGTCGTTCTCTCTCTCTTTCTCTCTCTCTCCAATACAACCAAACTCCACCTCCCTTTGCTTTCCACGAGTTGCCGCTTCCATTTTTAATTTACCCAAGCTCAGTATGGATGAAATTTGGGCAGCAAATATTAAAAAAAATAAATAAATAAACTGGGCAGCAACATCACCTTTCAAGATGCCAAAATGGAGATTTCAGAATGAAAATTTCAAAACAAATGTCTAGTATTATCAAACCAAATAGCTCGAATTTGAAATTTTATTCAATCTAATGGCCTCGAATTCAAATTTCAATTCAAATTTCATTTTAAAGAAATATCAAATCTAAACATCCAACCACAGCCTTCCATCTCCAATGCCAAAATCAGATCTGGATTTTGTGTGCACTCAGAATCAGATCTGATTACTTTTGAGACATTAATGATGATGCAGGTCTCTATTGTGTACTTGGGATCACTTCCTCATGGAGTGTACTCCCCATTGTCTCACCACCACAGTATTCTACAGAGAGTTATCCAGGGAAGGTAGTCTATCCAGAGTTTTCCTTGCCGGCAGTTTTTGGGTCTCTAAAGTTGAAGGCTTTGGGCGGCGGGAGCGGCGAGAATCGAAAGCTATCAACGTCGAGGCCGGCCATGAGCTCCCATGAGTTGATAACCTCCGAGGAGGATGAATGCGTTTGGGTGGTGGTTTGTGTGGCTAGGGGCTAGGAGGAGAGAGAGAGAGAGAGAGAGAGAATCTGTATGAGGGTTGGGGGAAGATGGTGGGTGCGAGGTGGGCATATGCTGGAGAGGAGAGGAGAGTTCTGGGTTGGGGTGGGTCAAGAAGGAGGGAGAAGGAGAGAGAGAGAGAGTTGTTTAGGTTTTTATTTTTTTAAAACAAATATTTATTATCTTTTAAAAGTAGATAATTTTTTATTAATTTTTTGTCCACGTGGAAGTCCCATAAAAAAAAAAAAGGGTCATATTTTTGACACATCAGCATTTAACGGATTTTCTGACGGATTCGCTAACGGAGGGGGCGATCTGTAAGTTTTCGCGAAGTTGTGTATCCATAAATGTTCCCAAAATCGAGTATGAACTCGTAAATGACCCTATAGGTTGGGTGGTTTACTGTAGTTTGTCCTTATTAATTCAAGTAAATTCTTTTTAAATTAAAAAGGTCTGCTAACCAGTAATGTCATTTAAATTTAATCCAATGGCTGAAAAGTTGACATGTCACAATTAGATATAAATAAATAAATAAATTGCCTTACACTGTACAATGAATTCGGATTATTTGTTCTTAGTTTTTTCAAATCTTTCTTCCAAGAGCTATGAAAACCATATTAAAAACTGAGAACAAATAGTATGAATCCGACTTTCAAAACAAATGGTCTGAATCTTTGTGTGTTTATAAACCACCAAAATCTCACTCTTTCTTGCACTTTAATTTCACAAACAATTGAACTTCTCACTATTTACGGGTGATTTATATTTCTTTTAAAACAATTTTGACGATACAAAAGAATATATCTCCAACAATGGATCTAGGGCTGGTATGAATGAGGAAAAATTGGGCAATTGAAGAAACTTTTATTCTTTAATCAAATGCCAATGGGATGAATTAATGCTAGGATATGACTCTCTCATTTTCACGAGTTATGAACATAACTTATGTTGAAAACAAATCAGATCTTGGAATAGAGGATGGTAGAGAAGTTGCAATAATATGAGATAGGAAATTTGAAGAATCGCCCATAGTTACAAGCTGTTGGCTGTTCTCAGTTTTTCTATAAGAAGCTCAAGGCTCTGACTAAAACAAAAAACAAAATTGAAGGCGCATGTACTTGGGAAGCGAGGAATTTGACGTTTGATATTTGTGCTTTGGATTTTTTTTACCTTTTTTAATTTTAAGGTTGAGACAATTGTTTTGGGTTTTAATCATTTTCTCCAAGTTCTTAGAAGTCTTTTCATAAATGGGTAAATTTATCTTTAAAATTTTGAAAATATGGTGGGTAGGAAAATAAGATAAGTGGGTGGAAATAGAAGCACTCATTGAAAATTACATAGAATCTAAAATGACGGAATTTGGATTTCCATAATTTCAATTTCAGGCAATTAAAGATTTCAGTATTTGGACTTATGTATGTTGAATTTTGTAAATGACACTACAGAAACTATTTTAGTGAAAATTATACTCGGGAACTTGATGCCCCAACTTCCACAATTTTTTCCACACATCATTAAATAAATTCTGTGTTTAAAACCAAAAGAAAATATCCCAGATATTTCAACTCGACATTGACTATAGGGGTCCAATTGTTCAAACCCTCTATATCGAATTTATTTCATCGTTTGGTTCCATTTTAGTCCTTGAACTTGTGCCCAATTCATATTTTAATCTTCTAAGTGTAAAAATTGCTCATGAAGTTCCTTAACTCCACTTTTATTAGCACAGTTGGTCTTGCGATCATAATATATTCAATTTTCCATCAAATTAAAGGCAAAATGGTTATTGTATGTATGGCTAGCAATGAGTCGTGTCATGTCGGGGTTGTGTCGTGTCGTGTCGTGTCGGGATAATAAATGTGTAAAGAATGCTCAACGCAAACCCTACCTATTTAATAAACATGTGGTATTGGGTTCGGGTCGTCTTAAACATGTTATTAAACAGATTACTTGGTTAATAACCTATTTAATAAAAAGTGGTAGCAACTAATAAAACAACCTCAATATGTACAAAGAACCATAAACTTCAATGACCCTTGATTAATTAAAAATTTTATTTCACTTAAAAATAAATAAAAAAAGGTACTGCATCACTAAAAATTAAAATTAAAATTAAATTCAGAAAAACATATAAAAACAAGAACAACATCATCATGACACGCTTCTTGTTTTTACAACGGGAGATTTTAGTTTGGCCCTCTAGACCTCCTCTCTTGGGTTTTCACGCACCACTTTTTGGGGCTCATCACTTGAGCTTCTAAAGATCACCCTCTTCACTTTCTTAAAACTCATCTCGTGATCTCCTCGCTTGAGCTTCCCTGGGTTCTCCAAAGCCTCCAATTGCTCTTGCATGTCTTTAGAGTAAAAATTTACCATCTTCGATAGTTTTTTATTCTCTTCATGCAATATTTCAAGCTAGTGACGCGTCTCCTCCAACGTCTTTGCCCTCTCCCTTTTCAAGTTTAGGATAAAGCATTAACAATCTTCAACCAAATTTCGTTCTACTACCAATTGAGCTCTTAACACTTGTACTTCATGGGATTTCACAATTAGGCAATGCCACACACTTGTGACAGATGCCGCACTTTGCAAGCTCAATGTCATGGCATCGCTCACTACTCGGTTGTCATCCCTTGTTCCCAGACAGATGCCGCACTTTGCATGCTCAATGTCATGGCATCACTCACTACTCAGTTATCATCCCTTGTTCCCAGCACGCACACATCCCGAGACTTTCTATTTCTCGGCCCATCAATGGGCCTCATGTTGATTCCTTACAGTCTATACCACAACCCACTCAAGCAAGCCCTGGGTATTTGAGCGGCTTGGGCTTGCTTAGGCTTGTAGCGTGGTTGAGTGAGGAATAATAATTTCTTGCTTGACATGGCATGTTGCTTGGCGCGCTTCAATTTTATCGTCCTTGAAGAGGGACACGGTGCTTAGTTTAGCATGGGCTTGTATTTTATAATATTATTTCAATCCTTGGCATGGCATATCGCTTGGCATGCTTTTAATTATTATGCTTGACGGCATAATGAGCATGGATTTACAAATATAATGCATTTTATAATCTTAATCTCGATTCCTAGCATGACGGATTATTTATTTGGCATGGCGCGTGGAGTGTGACTCGTGCATGGCGGATTTTTGTGTGCTCCAAGTCGGGTTTTTCTTCAATAAGGTATTGCGCTGGGCCAAGAATTCATTTGGGCCAAGCCGTGGATTTTTTGGGCCTCAACATTAGCCCCCTTAATTATTAAGGCCATGGGTAAGTGCTGGAATGGGTTGAATAATTAAATACAAATTTATAAATAAACCCAATTCTAGACATGTATT